GTCTTGAACCCGCGGGCTCAGGCAGTCCACTCGCCTTGGCCTCCCAAAGCGCGGGATTATAGGCTGAGCCACCGAGCCCAGCCATGATGTATTTCTTAACTACCTTATCTTCCAAAACTAGATGGCAAGCTTGGAGGCTTGTAGAAACTCCATCCTTGCCTTTGGCCCCCACTACTCCTGCTTGGAACACAGTAAGTGGCCAGTTGTAACTGAGCTGGTTCTCTGGTAGTCTCAAGCTTCCCTCTCCTGACACACTAGAGTCCCACCCACCCTTCAGCAGCTATGCAGTATTGAGGTCTGGAGCCACACTGCTGGGGTTCAAATCCTAGATGGGTTGTTTAACAGCTGTGCAACCCAGAGCAGGCTACTTAACCTCTCTCTGCCTTAGTTCCTCACCTGTAAAATGGGCATATTTTATTTTTAGGGTTGCTGCAGGGCTTAAGTAGGACAACTTACTTAAAACACTTAAGGCCAGGTGCGGTGGCTCACTCCTATAAACCCAGCAGCCAAGGCAAGAGGATTGCTAAACCCAGGAGTTTGAGACCAGCCCGGGCAACATAGGAAGACCTCGTCTCTACAAATTATCAGAAAAATTAGTCGGGAGTGGTGGGGCGTGCCTGTAGTCCCAGCTACTCAGGGGGCTGGGACAGGAGGATCACCTGAACCCAGGAGGTTGAGACTGTGGTGAGCCTTGATGGTGCCACTGCACTCCAGCCTGGGCAATAAACGGAGACCCCAACTCAAAAAAAAAAGTCCTTAAAATAGTACCTTCTAGCTGGGTGCAGTGACTCACACCTGTAATCCTAGCACTTTGGAAAGTGGAGGCGAGAGGATTGCCTGAGCCCAGGGGTCCGAGACCAGCCTGGGCAACTTGGCAAGACCTCACCTCTACAATTAAAAAAAAAATATTGTAGCTGGGTATGGTGACGCACGCCTGTGGTTCCAGCTACTCGGAAGGCTGAGGTGGAAGGATTGCCGGATCCCAGCAGGTCAAGGCTGCGGTGGCTGGGAGCGTGCCGCTGCACTCCAGCCTGGGCAAGAGTGAGACTCTGACTCAAAAAAAAAAAAAAAAAAAA